TTGTTCGGAGGCCAGGGCTGGATTTGAACCCGCCACCTTAGGTGTATGTGGCTGGCGTATTAGCCACTTGAGCCACAGGTACCAAACCCTTCCACCAGTTCTCAAACAAGCATGAGCCTCCTCACTCTGTAAAACCCACCCCTTGGAGACCACATCTCCTTCCAGTGCCTGCCTAAAGCTCAGTTCCCCTTTCCAAGCCTTCAATAAGGTCACCAGTGGTTCCATGAAGCTAAATCCAAGGAACTGCTTTTGTTCCTCATGTTACTGGCCCACTCAGGAAACTTTGACCTCACTGATCACTCTCTCCTTAAAATGCCCTTCCCCAGTCTCTGTGACATCACACACCCCTGGGGTTTCTTTTTCTACTCTCTGGCCTCTCCTCTTGGTTTCTTTGGCTGGGCTGCCTTTTTGAAACCACGTTTAAATATGAGCTTTGCTCGAGCCTCCATCCTGACCTTCCTTTCATCCCACTCTAGACTCTTTCAGTGACCTCAAATACTATTTCCATAGCCAGGGAAAACCTTATTCCTCCATCCTCACATCCACCCCAGAGGGGATGGTATTGGAGCCCCACCACTGGCTCTGTCTACCAGTCACCACTCTCATCCAGAGAGCAGCAAATGAGCTGACTGGGGAAAGTGGGAAAGGCTAAGCTCTAGTGAGCCAACCTGGACCACGTGGCCGGGTCTGGCAACCTCATCAGAATAGCCTCTGCCCAGGGGAGACCCTCAACTGGGCTAGGGAGATTAAATCCAGGGGGAAGGTACCAGGAAGCCCCATGGTAGATGTACAGACTTACCTGCATTTTCCAATTCAACTTCATCATCAATAAAGTTGACATACTGACTCCTGGCAGAGGCCTATTTCTAATTCTCAGTTCTGACTCAGTGGAGGGTAATGTGTACCTCTACTACCAGCCCCAACCCACACATGGCCTGCAAACCAAAAAGGCCTTGAGGAACAGGCACAAGGACAGAGCTTTGGGGACTTAAGATAGACCTGGACTGGCTCGGTGCCTGTGGCTCAAGTGGCTAAGGCCCCAGCCACATACA